ATCCGCCTCCTCGCGATCCGTCTGGCCCCTATGGGCCGTAAGGCATAGCAGAAAACCGAAACCCCGACACAAACTGAATCCATAGTTTCTCTGATGGAGGAGGAGGAGGAGGAGGAGGAGGAGGGAGGAGGAGGAGGAGGATGAGGAGGAGGAGGAGGAGGAGGAGGAGGGAGGAGGAGGAGCTTCCCGCGCCAATTCGAAGCCCCAATAGAAGCACTCGGGGCCCCGTGATGGGGGTGCTCCCGAGGCCGCCTGGGCCTCCCACGAGATCCTCTGGGGACACCTTGGGCCAGGAACGCCTCCCCAAACTAAAGAATACAGGCGTCGGAAACAATTAAGCAACACTCATGCAGAACATATGGTTTGAACCCCCCCCTCCCCCAAATGCAATGTTGGTTTCGGATCTTCCGATTTTGGGCCTCCGAGCGGTCTTGCGAAAACCTGTCAACTTTGAATTGCGGGGGAGGGGGGGAATGTTGCTTAATTGTTTCCCTCAACCGTGTTTATTCGAGTTTTCAGAAAATTTCCTGTCTGTGTCCAGAGCACTCTCATGCGTGTGAGGAGCTGTACGAGGTCCCCAGCGGTAACCTGGTGGACGGTTCTCCGCTGGCGCCCAGCTATGTTCTCAGAACTCAACCATCGGGAAGGCCCGACCCTGTCCCAAGGACCAGGTTTTCATCCTGAGTCGCTCTTTGACTAGAGGCCTCCTGGATGGGGTCGGCGTGGATGGGGTCGGAGGATCGCGCCGCATCGCCGATGTATCGCCGATGCATCGGCGATGCATCGGCGATGTATCGGCGATGCACTGGCGATGCATCGTCGACGTCGGCGATGCATCGGCGACGTCAATGTACAGAAAATCGGGTTCCACATCGCTGATGCATCGCAGATGCATCGGCGATGCGGCGCGAGCCTCCGACCCCATCCACTTCGATCCCATGCAGGAGGCCTAGATTGACGGTCCTGGGGCCCGGGAAGGGCCCGGGTAGGCCCAGAACGATGAAACACCTCCCGTCCTGAGAATGTCTGGGTGTAACACTCCAGCAGCCCCCGACCTGTGCAAGACGCACCAATCCCTGTCGCGGAGCTGCCCGCCCTTGCCGTAGGTCTCCGCCTGGATACTCCCCGCGGCTGGCTGGGCGTTGCGAGAAGTGGCGCCTGGCCCAAGCCCAGCACCCTCGGGTCAAGAACAGAGTCATGACGAGCAACTTGTTGCCGTCTTTGGACTCTTTGGGCCCTCACCAGGCCCCTGGTACCGTAGAGTTGTGGATGCCACGACAATGGACACCCTAACAGTCCTATCATTGAATTCAGAATGTGTTTGAAAGGTGGGAAACATGTTCTAAACGTGTATTAAACATGTCTTTTACATGTTCAAACCATGTTTGACACATGTTTCATCTGGAAATCATTTGGCAACGTGCTTCTTGCCGTCGCTCGGAGGTCCGTTTCCCGTGCAAGTTTCGGTTTCGTGCGTGTTTTTGTTCGCGCGATGGTCCAGGATGTTCCTCAAGGGTCCTCGCCGAGAAAAAAATGCCCACGTCCGAGCGATGCCAGGGCTTCCTCTCCATTGATCGTCCTCCACAATATTAGAAAGACGACTCCGTGGGTCCAGACCTCTGGGGGTCGCCGCTGCGACACGTCACGGCGTCGGGGGGGTCTGGGAGGTGACCCCAGCTGCCCACGGGAGGCGCAGGTGGCGCCCCCCCCCTATGCAGGCGGAGGTTGGACGAAACATGAGAGATAGCCTACAAGTGTTCAAACCATGCTCGCAACAATCGTCCCCAGACTATGTTTTTCTTGTTATTTCTGAATTTCCTTCTGTAGAGGGGCGCGCCCGATTTGACCCCAGAGGCACCAAGAAGGCGCGAGAAACTGGGAGAACCGTGGGACCAGGACCGCTTCTAGCAACACCCGAGCTGGGTCTGCCACGTACTTGACGACGCTCTCCTCGTCCTGGCCGCTGACGGAGCCCTTGCCCAGCTTCTGGAGCACCTTGCCGTCGAGGAGCTTGGTGACCGTGAAGACGTTCTCCGACTCCTTGGCGCACGCGGACTCGCGCAGCGCAAACTGCTTCGGCGGGTCTTGCAGCAGCCCGACAGTAGAGGAGCAAAAAAACTGCAGAAACAGAAGCTGTCGGCGCTCCGCGCGGCTTCCTTGGATCGGCGCTGGGCCCCCCCCTGGCGGCGCCTCCAGCGCCGCCCCTGGCGCGCTCCGCGCGCCAAGGAGGGGTGCCGGGCACCGATCCGAAGAATCCGCGCGGACCTCCGAAAGTGCATGCTCACGCAATCCTTCCCTCTTCGAACTGAGCTCCCTCCAGACTGTGCCAAAGTCTCCCAGCGGCGTGAGCGAATCTGTCACCACGCTCTTCAAGCCAGAGCCCGAAGGAGATGCGACGCTGTCTCTGGCCTGTAGCGGCATCCGGGCCGCCGCCAGTCCCCGGAAGGCTGGTGCGGCCGGCCAAAAATGTTCTGAGCCAAAATGGCTCGAGCCAAAATGG